ATTAGTCATTCATTTCGTTTTTATATTCTTTTGAAAAAATGAATTTGATATTTGAAAAATATTTTAATGAAAATGAAAGATTATTAAATACTGATGATTTTTATGATGTAAAAATATATGTTGGCATAGAACCAAACATTAAAGAAGTTCATGCACATGCATCTATCATATCAGCTCATTGTCCATTTTTTAGTAATGTATTAAATAATTCAACAAAAGAAAATGGATATTATACTGTTAAAAAAGCCAATATTAGTGAAAAATGTTTTAAACCTATTCTCAAGTATGTTTAAATAAATTTATTTATAATAATGATGATAACATGTTTAATAATTTATTTATTTTTTAAGATTTTTATACACATGTAAATTTGAATTTGAAAATTATTCTGGAGCTGAAGTATTAGAATTATTAATTGCAGCAGATCAACTTGGTATTGAGTCATTTTATGAATATATGGTGAAATACTTTGTTGAAAATCATGAAGATTATATAAAAGAAAATCCAGTTAAAATTCTACAATTGATTTATACTAATGAAAAATTTAAGGAATTGAGAAATATCTATTTGGAAAAGTTTTGTGAATATAGTGAAAAATTATTTGAATCAAGTGAATTTAAATCATTGGAAAAAGCAACTTTATTAGAAATTCTCAAAAGAGATGATTTTTCTGTTAATGAGATAGTTATTTGGGAAAACGTTCTTCAATGGGGATTAGCAAGACATCCTGAAATCAATAATATCAATGTTGAAGATTGGTCATTACAAAATTTTGGTGATTTAAGCAACACATTAAAAGATTTTCTCCCTCTGATAAGATTTCAGGATATTTCTAAAGAGGATTTTCTTGATAAAATTGAACCATATGATATACTTTTTCCTAGGACTTTACGGAAACCCCTTTTACAACATTACATAATTCCAGATAAGCAACAAACATTGAATTTATTACCATCAAGAAATCCAAAATTTAAATCATTGAACTCAAGACTTGAATCATTGACAATCAATCAAAACCTTACTTTTCTTTTTGCAAGTTGGATTGATAGAAAAAATCCACCATATACTTCATTCAAAGAAGTCAAATATGAATTCAAACTTCTATATCAAAGTAGCAGAGATGGTTTAAATGGAACTACATTCCATCAAAAATGTGACAATATCAACAAAACCCTTGTAGTTGGTAAAATACAAAATTCAGAGCAAATATTTGGTGGTTATAATCCACTTAATTGGAATGGAAATGGGTATAAGTATACAACAGAAAGTTTTATTTTTAATATTAGCAATAGAAATGGTGCTAATACTGCACAATTTAGTTATGTTATTAATAATGATTATGGTTATGCGGTTTATTGTCATCCTAATAATTTACCTTATTTTGGTGGTAGTGGTGATGTTTGGTTTAGTACAGATGGTAATTTTGGTAGTACACCAAAGACTTATAATAACATCAATATAGTACGTGGTAAACTTGATGAATTAGAAATTTTTCAAATAATTGATACAAAATAAAAATAATATAAATGCAATGCTAGATTATTAAATCTGATAATAATTTAGTAATTGCTGATAAACAATATGTTAACTATAATTTTGGGGTATTATTTAGAGATCCCTTTTTTAAAGGTTTAATTAACATGTGATTTATGTGATTAGTCATTCATTTCGTTTTTATATTCTTTTGAAAAAATGAATTTGATATTTGAAAAATATTTTAATGAAAATGAAAGATTATTAAATACTGATGATTTTTATGATGTAAAAATATATGTTGGCATAGAACCAAACATTAAAGAAGTTCATGCACATGCATCTATCATATCAGCTCATTGTCCATTTTTTAGTAATGTATTAAATAATTCAACAAAAGAAAATGGATATTATACTGTTAAAAAAGCCAATATTAGTGAAAAATGTTTTAAACCTATTCTCAAGTATGTTTAAATAAATTTATTTATAATAATGATGATAACATGTTTAATAATTTATTTATTTTAAGATTTTTATACACATGTAAATTTGAATTTGAAAATTATTCTGGAGCTGAAGTATTAGAACTATTAACTGCAGCAGATGAACTTGGTATTGAATCATTTTATGAATATATGATGAAATATTTTGTTGAAAATTATGAAGATTATATAGAAGAAAATCCAGTTAAAATTTTACAATTAATTTATGCTAATGAAAAATTTAAGGAATTGAGAAATATCTATTTGGAAAAATTTTGTGAAAAATTATTTGAATCAAATGAATTTAAATCATTGGAAAAACCAATTCTATTGGAAATTCTCAAAAGAGATGATTTTTCTGTTAATGAGATAGTTATTTGGGAAAAAATTCTTCAATGGGGATTAGCAAGACATCCTGAAATCAATAATATCAATGTTGAAGATTGGTCATTACAAAATTTTGGTGATTTAGGCAACACATTAAAAGATTTTCTCCCTCTGATAAGATTTCAGGATATTTCTAGAGGGGATTTTCTTGATAAAATTGAACCATATGATATACTTTTTCCTAGGACTTTATGGAAACCCCTTTTACAACATTACATAATTCCAGATAAGCAACAAGCATTGAATTTATTACCATCAAGAAATCCAAAATTTAAATCATTGAACTCAAGACTTGAATCACTGACAATCAATCAAAAACTTATTTTGCTTTTTGCAAGTTGGATTGATAAAAGAAATCCACCATACACTTCATCCAGGAAGGTCAAATATGAATTCAAACTTCTATATCAAAGTAGCAGAGATGGTTTAAATGTAACTGCATTCCATCAAAAATGTGATAATATCAACAAAACCCTTGCAGTTGGTAAAAGGAAAAATTCGGAGCAAATAGTTGGTGGTTATAATCCACTTAATTGGAATGGAAATGGGTATAAAAATACAACAGAAAGTTTTATTTTTAATATTAGCAATATAAGTGATATTAATACTGCACAATTTAGTTATGTCATTAATAATGATTATGGTCATGCAGTTGATTGTCATCCTTATGATTTACCTAGTTTTGGTGGTGGTGGTGGTTGTGATATTTGGTTTAATAGGAATGGTAATTTTGGTGGTGCACAAAAGACTTATAATAACATCAAAATGGTATCTGGTAAATTTGATGAATTAGAAATTTTTCAAATAATTGATATTTAAATTTAAATTTTTCTACCAATAAACACAAAATACTACCACAAACTTTTCTTGATAATAAACATGACATGTTATCCATTTTTTCAACTATTGCAATTGTTTGTTTAAAAACAGTATGTTTCGTTACCTAATTTAATTGTAAATAAACTATATATAAAGCCCAGATGATAATTAGTAATGATTGTATGAAATTACCAAAAATCAAGCGGTTGTAACATTAAATATTAATTTCATGAAGAAACCGCAAGTATTTGATATTGATTATGTTGATGTTGCTGGCAATTCATCAAAGTCTCTAGGAGAACAAGAATCTTTCCAAAATTCAAAAAATATAAAAAAATTTTTTTTTTTTTTGCAGGAAAATACATGATTATTATTATTACTACTATTATTATTATTGGATTCATCAGCACATAATAATAAGTAGGTAATTATTAAATACTATTTTTTTCCGCAGAGTGAGCTGAGATTTTTATTATTGAACGTGAATGGGATCGCATCAATTTGTGAAAAAAATACAGAAAATGATTGATTTTGCGCTTTTAACGGAGACACAGGTCAAGGTTGGATGATAAATGTGACGAAATAGGATTTCTGTACTTTAAGGAATTTGACGAAAGTGACGCAGTTGACGATAAAATAAACCAATTTAAATTCTAATTCGTCAATTCCTTCTGTTACAATTACATTAATTAGCAGCAGTTAAATTATTCTCAGTTGTTCCACATAGTGGTGGATGTGAACGCGTTTTTCATATTTAAAGAGACTTTATGGAAAGAATTGTCAAATAATAATTCTGTAAATAAATATTGCTAAAATTCATTCTTTTGTCCAAGTAATATTAAAAAAGAATTAAAACATACTGGGTCAGACTTTGTCAGAAAAAGGGTTGAAGCAGAAGTTAATTTGGATAAAAGTGGTAATCATGATAACAATAATCATGATAACAATGATGATGAGACAGAGGATTTAGAAAATAAAAAATTCTTTTTTGAAGACAATGATAAAATGGATGAGGATATGGAATTGGGAAATTCTTAAAAATTACAATGATGATGATAATTCAAATTATGATTAGTTCACAAATGAATGAATGAGAGTTTATTCTGGAAAAAGTAAATGAAGAAAAGCATTTCAAATAAACCTATCGTCATTTTTGTCACTTTCGTCATATATTTGACCACGTGTCCATTTGACGAAATACTTGTTACGCTCCTTGGCACAGGTAAAAAAACGAAATATGTATTGACCCATACGAAAACGAAGGAATGGGAACAACCTAACATTTTCAACAAATGGATATATGGATTGTCAGTAATTTTAGTCTTTTATATTCCATTGGTCATTTTATTTATTTAACATTTGAGATTCAAATTTTATTATCATTCTAGTATTCTAGTTCTCCTTACTCACAATAAAGCAACCCGACTCCTTCCGATATACCATAGAGTAGTGTTTTGAAAAAAAGAGTCAGGGCGCATTATTTTTTACAAGGAACAATATAGTCAATGAACGCTTGAAAATTTTTCAATTCGGTAACCTGATATGAAAAACAGGTGGTGCCCTTGGAAAAATTCCAAGTGGCATTAAAGACAAAGAACACTTTGGAATATTTGAAACAACTTTAATTTGCGGTTTACTTTTCTACTAGCGGCCCACCGCAAGAAGGGATCTCAAAATTGCAAACGCATCTTTGTGCTTTTAAAAAAGGAAAAACTTATTTACTTTAGAAATATTTATACATTAAAATAATAATAATAAATATGTATGTGTATATGCATATTAAACAATAAAAATCATACAAGAATATAAATCATAATAAAATATATAAAGATAAAGCATTTATTTAATGCTGCTAGGATTATCTAAAGCCATTAGACTACCAATGAATGTGAGAATCTATATAGAAGAAAAAAATTATTATTATTTATTATTAAAATCAAAATATTAAAATATCAATAATATATATGAAAATGAATTATAAATTACCAAACGAGGTCTAACTTCAACAATGTCTTCAGGTAATAGGAAAATAGTAGCTCCAATTTTTCTTGCAATAGAAATTGAATATCTTGCATTTAATGTCGCATCATCCTCTGAAAAAATTTTATAAAAAAATTTTTTTTAATCAATTAATTGAATAATTAATAGTATTAATAAATAAACATGAATAGAAAAGTACCAGATATGCCTCTTGTAACCAAACTATAATCTACTATTCCTGGTCTTATACCATTTAGTAAATCAATCAAAAAGATACCACTTCTCAATGATGAATCTTTGAAACTATTCATTTTTGTTGTTTTTCCACCACGTCTTACTGTTTCATTTGCCCATTGAACTAAATCTGCATCAGTTATTTCACGACCACCTTTTGACAAACTTATCAAAGTTTGGATTATATTTAATCGCATCATTTGCCAAACAAGACCAAGAATTAAAGTTTTTGTTCCATCAACAATATCAGCGCCTTGAATATTAACAAGTGTGAATTTCAATGATTGACCAATCAATATGGCGTAATTGGTATTTTCCACTTGTTTAAATCTTGAAAGATTATTGTTATTGGCTTTGTTTACTTTCTTCCAATTAACTATTCCTGGCTTAAGCTTTTCAAAGGCTTGAAGAATAACTAATCCATCCTACAAGGTCAAACCAATTATTAGTTTTAATATAATAAATATCATGAACAAATAAATCAAAAATAGATAAAATAATTTTTTGTAATAACAAACCTTGAGATCTTCATATAAATTATTAACAGCAGGTGTAACATCTAAACTATTTAGCCATAGAGCAAACACTAAATATTAAATTAAATAAATATTAACTAAAGGAAGCAAACAACAAAATAAAGATAAAGATAAAGAAAAAACTTTACCCCTAGCTTCTCTATCATCGCTATCATCAAATTCTTCAAGATCAGCTTTTTCTTCTTCATCAAGTGGTGCAAGACCTGGATGAGTATTAAACAAATTTGCCACAAAGGCTAAATTTAATTTAGGATTTCCGGCAACAAGAGCTTTTGGTGTAAGGTACTTTCTGCATCCCAATTTCTCAGAATTTTGTAAAACCTATTTAATTATATTAAAAAAAAAAAAAAAAGAGACCATATCATTTAGTATATTATTAATTTAATCCTATACAAACGTCTTAAGGCTCAACTATTAAATGAATCCACCTTTTCTGCACGTTCTAAAAGATCTCGTTCCTTTAAAGGATCTCGTGAACAAAGATCAGGAGCTAATTGATTTAGAAGAACAGTATAATTTTCACCATCAGATACATCTTTACTAAAATTTTGAACTCTAATAAAATATATTTAGCGAAAAGTATATATGTTAATAACATGAATATGAAGCGAGTATCTCGCATTCAAGATGTAATATTTATATACAACTTACCGACGTTGCCATTTAGCAGCTTTTAAATGATAATTGAACCATCTCAATAAAATTTGGTCAGGAGGTAATTTTAAAAATTGTTCTAAAGTTTCGTCATCTTCCAAAAGACGATATAATTCAGGATGAAGCTTTATATCAATTTTATTCAACAAGCCAATCTTAATGATTTGCCAAATGAGACCTAAAATTAAATGTTCTCTGCCCTCAATTAAATCAGCCGAACCAATGTTTACAACATTACAACCAATTCCTTTTGCTGAAAAAATTACTAAATTATTATTTTCGGTCATTTGAAACTTGTTGATTTTCTTTCCTTTTTTAGGAACATTAAGTACACGTTCATCAATTGTATCAGGTACCGAAGTATTTATAAGTTTTGCAAGAAGTAAACCATCTGATAACAATAATAGTTATTGTATGGTTATAATTATAGTTATAAGAATTGCAATGATAATATTATAAAAATGTTTATTTTATTACCTCTACATTCATCAAATAATTGCATAGTTGAGATGTCAATTGGCAATTTATCAACAATATCTGGATCACCGGTTAATGTTTGATTGATATGTCTTGTGAATTCAGTTCTTTCATCTTCATTTATTGTATGTGAAACATTTTGACTTGATCCATGAACAGTGATTTTATGTTTGTTAACTGCAAATGCACTTTTATTACGTCCTGACCTTAGTTTTGCAATTGTCTAAATGTTTGGAATTAAATATATGCTTAATATAAATGTAAATTATCTATTATTATTATCATCATCAAATAAACAACACGTTGTATTTATATATTTACTTCGACAAATTCCTCAAGTTCAACTTTACCCGTAGAACTTAAGTCTATTTCTTTTAAAGTTGCTCTTATCTCATCATATGAACTACTTTCGCCCATATCTTGCAGGGCTTTCAGAACTTCTTTTTGTTCAAGCGCTCCATTACCATCAATGTCTAATTGACTTTATATTTTCCAATTTTTTAAATTTTAATTGTAATATTCATGCAAAACAAATCAGAAAAAAAACAGCATAGCTTACTTGAATTGAGCAGTAATTTGAAGTATGTCGTGTTGAGGAATTTGAGGAAACTTTTTGGCCAATTGCATTACATTCATTTTTTTTTTATTATATAAAATAAAAATTGATATTTGTCATAATGTGACGGACGATCTTGAAATATTATATAATTCTGTCGATCTTTTTTATTAATAAATTATCAAGATTCCTTTGTATGGTGCCATCTATGCTCTTAAAGAATTTACAAGTGACTTTAAACGTACCTAGTCCACAATTGTTTGATACAAAAAAAATGAAATAAACTGTAATGACAGATTAGGACATCTTCTTTCAAACTCTTGGTTTATTGCTTTGCTTGACTTGTCAACCAATAATCATGTATTTTTAAACCTCCTACTACGTATATATGATAAATTATGACATCATTTATATCACGTGAAGGAATTTGGCCAATAAAAAATGAGAACTTGTTTAAAGAGGAGTGTCAAAATTGATTACACTTTTAGATCTCCGAGAAGTAAATCATATGAATTAAAAGATTTTGGCTCTATATAGTGACAGTGAAATGGGTGTTAATGAAAGCGGTTGGGATGATGTAGATGATATGGAGGAGATCAAAGAATCAAAACGCCAAATAGAATTAGCAAGGCTCCGAACAGATCGAATCAAAGTCAGATCAAAACAAAAGATTGGATCGGATATTAATTGAAAATAATTTCGATCATATTAAATTTCCATTAGGAGTTTACTCAAAGTTGCGTTTACTTGATTGATATTCATAGTCACGCCTACTTTAAGTCATATTATTAAATAGTTTTCTCATCATTTGGTGGTAAAAGCGAACTTTTCATCAATTATATACATTATAAAATACGATAGAACACTTTTCAAAACAATAAATTATTAAAATCATCAACAGGATGATCCATAAAAATTCAGATTACAGTCGAATCTCGTTATTATTATTATAATACTGTAATAACGAAAATATGAATTTGACCTCAATTGTCCACATTATAACAAGGAGTTGTAATTTTTTATCATCACGTGATATTTTTTATTATACAAAATACGAATGATAATAATTAATAACCAAATAATACTAACAAATAATATTAATATAATAATAATACAGTGTTAAATAAGAAATTATTTTCGTTGGTTTAGATTGCTAAAATTATAAAGCTGATTTTTTTTTTCTTTAGTGTATGAAAGATAAGGAAGGACGTGATTTTTTTAATGCTTGCTTGATATGAATTTGGATCAATGTCAAGGCATTTGTCTGAATTTTTTAAGATATCAAATTCTTTGTTTAAATCAATATTTTTTTATTCAGTTATTAGATAATTTCATATTTTTAATGCAGCAGTAATGTTGGTTCCTATTAGAAAAATTTTTTTTTATGTTTCAAAAAATATTAATTGTCTGGAACTTGAATTAATGTTTAAAATTTTTTATGAAATCAATTCAATAATTTACTTGGATGATTTTTCATCATAAGTTTTATTTTTAAAATATTCTCAACTGATTTTTATCATAAACTTTTTATTTATAAATTTTTATTATTTATCATTTGAAATATTCTCAACTGATGAATTTTATCATAAGTTTTTTATTTCGACTGATTTTTTTATATCGTACGTCTTTTATTGTCTAATATTAGAAAGATCCACCAATGAACTACAAAAGCTCGGTATATTATGAAAATTCTCATTAAATGTTTGTTATATAAATTCGTTATAACAATATTCATTCAGTTATAAACAAATACCGTTATAACGAGGTTCGACTAAAGACATTTTTAATCACAATTTTGAACCCCCCTTTTCTAAAAACTTGTTTGAAATTTTACTACGAACCTTGGGGTTGCGTCGCAGCAGTTGATTATCAAAATTAATTATTAATTATTATGCGGATTTTTTGTTACACCAAGCGTTCTACTATAAATCCTATAAAACATTAAAAATACATGCTCGATGACCAAATATGCTAGAACCAAAAATATTATTATTATTATTTGAAAATTGGCGTTGAGTTTTTATGTTGAAATTTATGCGAGATTACACGTTTGTTATTTTGGCTTTTAAATTCCAATACTAACTATTACTATATTGATATGTTTAATGTCATCTTACCCAATCAACTGCTGCGATCCACGGAATACTTTTACGATTTTACCGAAATATTTTAGATAACGCGCGGCTTTTGTATTAGATAATTAGATTTTATTTAAATATGTTAGCATATTAATATATATATGCACATACATATGCACACACACACATATATATATCAATCACCTGGTTTTTTTAAGAATTGTAACACGAATTATCACTAAGACATTAACTATATATATATACTAATACCTTTTTTATTTGATTCGCTGCATCAAATCTACAAATATTTGGTAATGCACATGGAACCGATGATAATGGGGTGTAACAAAATTTGAATTTCTCTAATCTTACACAACGAAATTTCAACGCTGCACATGACACCCCTTTACAATAAATTAGAATAATGTATATATATGAAAGGAGTCATACATTACTTTAATTCTTTCCATTGTCTATCCCCCCACATTAATACACCTCTTTAAAAATGTTTACAATCCAAGAGTTAATAGATACAATCAAAAGATTAATAAGTATAATCAACAATTTGTTCAAGACAAAAAATTAACTTTGGTACGTGCCCAACTTGTAATAGATCTAAAACTTCGAATTTATGATGTAAACCGTGTGATACTGTATTATTAACTGAAGGATGGACTAGCGGTAACGAAATAATAGAAAGTTGATCAAAGATACACAACTTAAAGCAACAAAATATGATAATGATAAATATCTTCAATGGATTTCTTACGATGATCTAAGAGATAGGAGAAGGTGGCTTCTCAAAAATATACAAAACTACATGGATGAATAGCAAGAAATATGTAGATGCTAATAATATGAGAAGTAGCAAAGATCGGATTGTTTCATTAAAAAAAATTATTATTGATATTGAATATTTATTTTCTTTTTAGTTCAAAAATTATGTCAAGTTTTATGCCAATTATTATTTAGTTCCATTTTATGGTATAACAAAAGACCTGATTACCAAGGATTATATCTTTGTAATGAGTTACGTCAAAGATGGAAGTCTTTAGGATTATCTAAAAAAGAATTTTAATAATTTGAATTGGGAAGACAAAATTAAAATCCTTTTATAAGATTGTCAATGGTCTAAAAGAACGAAAGGTCGTACACCATGACCTTCATGGTGGTAATATTCTTTATGAAAACGTTTCTGGTAAAAACTATCTATATATTGCAGATTTAGGGTTATCACGCTCGGCTAATCAAACATCAGATGATGGCACTATAGTTGGGGTTTTGCCATATTTGGCACCAGAGGTTTTAAAAGATAAACTATATACCACAGCATCTGATATTTATAGCTATGGAGTTTTGATGTCGTTAGTATCAACGAGTCAACAACCATTCTTTAACTTTCCTCATAGTTATGATTTATTAATGTCCATATGTGATGGGACAAGACCTAGTTTTTCTATCAACACTCCAAAAAATGTTTATTCAATTGGCATATAAATGTATGGATGCTGACCCAACTAAACGTCCAACTGCCAAAGAAATCAAGGGCGAGATTCAGCTTTGGAATGAATTCAAGTATAATTATTATTGAGAAACTCTAGATAAAATAAAATCATTTAGGATGGTGGTGTTTGATAAAATGGATGAAATACCATTTGATTCTTCAACAATTTCAACAACTATTCATCCAGATGCTGTTTATATTAGCAGATTCTTGAAATTTACAAATCTTCCAAAGGCTGTAAAAATTCCAATAAAGTAGCGATTATTAAGAATTATAACGGTAATTAAATCAATTATTATTTTTAGTTCATAATGGTTTATTATTTATTTTTAATGCCAATTACTTATCGTTATAATAAAAAAATGATGCTTATAGATTCTACTCAAGTAGATTTACACATAGATGAAAAGGGAGTATATTTATAATGATAATATAAATGAAACTTTTTTGTTCGTTTATAACAAGTCGCAACATTTGAATATGAAGTAGAGGAGAGATATTGCAGAGGTAACGAATTTATTATTTATTATTTTTTTTATCTTTTCTTATTTTTCTCCTATACTTATATGTTGAAGATGAATATCTTGCCTATAAAAGAATTAATATTAATATTTATTTATATATATCCAAAAATAAAGAACAATGTCAAAATTGTGTGATTGTGATATCTTGTCAGTGTTTATACCATTTCTTGTTTTTCATTATTTTAATCATTTCCCTCCTCCATATTGGGATATTAATTAATTCAGGTGTTTGTCTTTAACTTTAATCTGAATTCCTGAATAGTATTTCCACCTTGGGTGATATTTTCCTAAAAATGTTAACGTTCTTTCAGTTCAACAATATCATTCTCTAGTTAATTTGCTAAATTGTTTATCCCATCGTTTTTATTATCTATATCTGGTTGTAAAATAACTTTGCGACTATTTGCTAATTCTTGATGTTTTTGTCTTGTTGCTGATAACTTTTTAAACTATTTTTCTTTAAGGTGGTTACTCTCTTTGCACCAAGTGGAAAAGATATCAAGTCAACTTTCCCTTTCTTTGGATTTTCCAATAAAATCTAAATGAGTGAGTTTGACCTCCACTCTTAAAGTTTGCTACTCTCAATAAAAATAATATTCACTTGCTTGCTTCGATTCCAGCAAATATTTTTGTTAAGGATACTCTCGTAGAATAGTGAATGAAAATCATTAACAAAGTATACCAAGCAATTCCCTCAAAATGTTTGACGTTCGGCTTACAAGTTTCTTTTGTGATGATGTCAAATGTAAGCATTCATTGTGAAAATTAATTATCGATAAAAAATAATCCAAAATAGAATCATACCTTCTTGTGTATGAACAGCAATGCATTCACATTCATTAAGCAATGAATTGTCAAGAGACAGTAAACTAGATGAAAGCAAGAGGAATGCCAAATGCCTCCCTCGAATATAGTAAATATCGGATGAATGCGGTGGGTGGATGGGGTAGTTACCTTGATTTCAGAGTTGACTA